GGGGATTCGAACCCGCGACCCGCAGATTGCCCGAGTCGATCGTCCTAACCACCTAACCATGTCGGGTTCCAGAGACACCAAAGCCAAACGTATTTTTGAGCGAAAACGAATAAGAGTTGGTAGGATATTTTACACCAGTATACCTTTTTTTTTGTCAGTATGTCACACCGCCATTATTTTCCTTACTGGTGTACATACCGGCGAATACAGCAACACCACACTTTAACTAAAAGGGAGGTATGCAGGTGGTTCTCTCTAAAAACACCAGACTTTCCTTAGTATACTATTGGATAACACACACAAGAACGTGTGATATTAAGATTAGTAAGATTTCATGAACTAACTACCGATCGATCTTAACATTTATTAAATAATTAAATCAATAGTTATGAAATTTAGCTTGATGGTATTAATTTACTAGGTATTTTAATTAGATATTTCAATCATAAGCAAATTTTGTTTTACAAATTAAAAAAAAGCTCTATATTAATCTTACTAGTTTGAAAAAATTCGACTTACTTCTCCAGGTTTGGAAAAATTGGAGAGAGTCTTCACTCCGGCTGCGATGCTGAGGTATTTTGGTGATCGGGCTGGTAATGGAGGCCGAAATAAAACAGAACAATACTGCCCTTGGAAAGCATAAAGGTTTGTGCTTGGAGAAACAATGTCCAAACACTGATCATAGGATCCCAAGCTGGTCAGGGTTCCCTCCAACAGTCCAGATGGTAGCCTTCCATTGGAGTCCACCACTAAACCAACAAACACTCGTGTTACATACATGATCATTTTAGTAAGTAAAATATTCTAAGCTGATCAGAGCAACCAACAACAACAACAACCCACCTATCACACTTCTCTTATAGTCCAGTACTAAATCAATACAAAGTAATTCTTAAAATCCATCATTATTTGTGTACACATTAGACCTTAAAGAGATCAAAGTGTCATAGAACAGTCCAATTACTAAACCAGTAAAATCCCTGTTTTATACACGTTACAGATTTGGTGGGTGTAGAGATAGGTGTACTGTTTTAGGAGCTATGCTGGTGGTTAAGCTAACGATTCAGTTTGAACTTGGTATACAATAGATTTATATCAACAAAATAGACAGTACCGGGGTTCAATGTTTTATCTATTGCACCTCTCTGGAGGTTAAATTAGCGTCATCAACGTTTGGTTCGAAACTTGTCTCAACATATTGAGTCTATCCCTAAATGATGCTACTGCAATAATAACATTTTCTAGACAGTATTATTTGATTTTCCCAATCTCGTTCCTGTTGTTCTAGTTTTAGTGCAACGCTCCACAATTGGGTATATTCACTTTGTACACTAAGGGGGGAATCCATCCCCTGATTTTAGTGTTGTAAGTCCGCAAATCTATCGCTGACCCACCAGGGGACTTCTTGAAGTAGTAGGATTTGATAAGAAACTTTACTTATCCAGGTTTCGATACAGTGTATCTTTCCATGGGATTTTAATATGAGTCATGTTTGATTCATGAAAGGCGATTACACAAAGCTTTATTAAATATATTTTGTTAAGACATACTACGCTCAATTTAATGAGTTATTTGTTTACACTTCTCGCAGCTTTACTGCAACATTTGTTACATCTTACCAAACGTTTTAGGGCAATGTTTCTAATACTGTATAAGAAGTAAACTACTACATCAAACTTAAACATAAAACTTAACGAAACGTCGTAAAAACAGGTAATCTTTCACATAAAAAACGTATAAGTATTATTTCATTATCATGCGATTAGTATTGAAGCAATGCTTCAGATTTGTATAACAAAGCATGTAATTTATCTTTTGATTTGGAAAAGCCATTCTCAACATCTCAAAATGATTCTGAGTGGATTCTGGAATAAGGTGTTGGTTATTGTTAAGATACACAATGGGCCTTTTGTGCTCTAACAACCACGATGATCGAAACCCGGTTTTTAGAGTCGTGAGTTTGCAGACTTACCGCTAAGTCACTGGAGGGGTGGGGCTAAAAAACCCATTAAATTTCAACTTGATTGCAGAGTTGTAAATCTTTATTAATATAAACTTTCAGGCAAAGAAAGACCAAGGACCAAGAAAAGGCCCACATGAAAAACTATTGGTTTGGTTGTTTTAGAACCCCGGACATTAGCGATGTAAGTCTTTAGACTTCCCGCCCTCCCATCGGGGGACATGAAAACAAACAAGTTCAACAAGAGTAAAAAACATCGTAAGTCTGACAATAACAATAACAATTAAATAAAACTAAAAACAAATGAAGTTGCTCAATCAAACACATGACATTCCTGATTTAGTATACAATTCCTCGTCTGCAGCCAGTCGTGGAAAAATGGTTGCATTCAAGGAAAAAAAACTGTAAAATAAAAGTAAAACAGGTTTCTGCATTCCGACAGTTGAAGGATATAGATAAAAACTTGTCTTCATAATAGACCCTAACATACATTATCTAAAACTACTTATCATCAAAACTAGCAATAGAAACTTATTCATACAAGTATTGGTTCGGTATCGAAGTTAGGTTCTTTATGTCCGCCATGTTGGCTATATTGTTAAATACCAACGTGTTTCAGTTAAACACATGCATTAGTTTAAAAATATATATATAAATTTGACACGTGTTCCGTGTAAAAAAATAGGCAAAGTGCAATTGAATTAATCTATACAAAAAAATACTTCAACGTGTTTTGAAAGTTATATCTAAAGCTTCCCTAGTATTTTTACTTTTCAATCTGAGTAAAATTTTACAATATATTCACTATTGCAAATTAAAAAAACAACAACTTTAACAAAACGTATTGTTGAAAACCATTATGTTTAAGGCCTACATTAGGAAGAAAATATTCTAAGTTATTACATATTCTGAAAAATCCAAATAACTGATAAACCATCACGTCTTTATGTAAAGATGAAGGAAGTCCATAAATTTGGAAAGAAAATTCTCGAAGTTTATCAAAATATATACATATTTTTAAATTTTATAATCGGTAAGAGTGGGTTTTCTCCGTGTCATTTCATTAAATACTTTTATTGTTCAGTATAAAAATTAATATCTACTTTTTTATGTAGTAGTAATACCATGTTTTTCATATATTGATATCGTTGGACACACAATGTCGATCCCCAATTTGTAGTCAACAACCAACGATATCAATATATGAAAAACATGGTATTACTACTACATAAAAGATAACTTTGTATTACTAGTGCCCTCTACCTCACCAACTACCATCTACTTTAAAACACACAATGTCGACACCCGATTTGTGGTCAGTCAACAGTTAAAGTGGTTGGCATTTGGAATGATTTATTGCAAATTATTAAATTATATATATATATATGGGTAATTTAGTTCTATTTTTTTAGTCATGTTTTTATAGCGGTTACATTACTTTATATCGAATTATATAGGAGGGTGGTACAGTACGTTATTGTAAGATCTGTGTTTATGCAATTGTTGGGTGTTAGTTGGATGTATTATATGACTTAGATGATGAGGTTAAAGAAATACAATGTATATATTTTTTTGGGTTTCTTGGCTTTGTGTGGTTGGAATGCTATTATTATACACTTTTCCAATTCCAAATCCCTAGGGGACTAGATTAAGAATATAGGGTTTAAAAATCTAATAGGCCTAACACTTATGTCTTATGACAAGTATACTTTCGAAGTTATTACCATGTCAATAACCAACCATGGATGGTGAATGGTAGATCAGGGTGGGAGTTTGAAGCTTAAGCACCCTCATTTTTTTTATTAACCTCTTTCAGTTGTTTTGCATAATAGTAAAACTTCGATTTAGCAGTTAATCAAAAAAGCAGGATATCTCCCAACGCCTTCCGGATTCTTCTCCAGAACTTTTTTTCCTAAGATTATATTATGTTATATTATATTATATTATGTAATGAACTAAATATCATGTAATGAACTATATTATGTAATGAACTAAATATTTTATAATGAACTATATTATGTAATGAACTGAATGTTACATAATGAACTATATTATAATGAACTATATTATGTAATGAACTAAATATTTTATAATGAACTATATTATGTAATGAACTGAATGTTACATAATGAACTAAATTTACATAATGAACTAAATATTTTATAATGAACTATATTATGTAATGAACTGAATGTTACATAATGAACTAAATATCATATAATGAACTATATTATGTAATGAACTGAATGTTACATAATGAACTATATTATGTAATGAACTAAATATTTTATAATGAACTATATTATGTAATGAACTGAATGTTACATAATGAACTAAATGTTACATAATGAACTAAATATCATATAATGAACTATATTATGTAATGAGCTGTATATTTCATAAATAAAAGGTAAACACCAGAAGAAGATTTTTCACCCTAAGATTCAATAATGAAGACCTACTCTTTGTTGACCACGTCTCCATCTTTCCAAACGACGTCAGTACCGTCATTAGACTCTGATGACAAGCTTCACTAACGTTTATTGTCCTCAGAAAGTCATCTATAATCGGTTTTAAAGTTAGAGTTACATCTGATGCTTTTGCTCTATAAGTTTCTCTCAGATTTTCCCATGCTTCAACAACTTCATTATCAGGTAATATCCATGGGGTATCAGCATCAGTGGCCACCCACTCATTATTGTGTTCTGTGTCATTCCGACGATTAAAGATATCACTACAGGTAACCATACCTACAAATATACCACCGAACCAGAACCAAATCATTGTTATTTAAATATAAAAACGTTTGTAGTTAGTCTTACTGTTATAAAACGAAAGTGAAAATGAAGACCAAGAAACTTTTAGTTTCTTTAAGGTAGATTTTCGTGTGCGTGTGGTTGGTGGTTTTAAATCACGCATGCGTTTAACATTATCCAATCAGCTCTGAATCTTCTTTCACTAGATGTTTTATGGGTCAGTTGAGCAACAATATTACTTGGTAAGAAGTGTTTCTTGTGTAACGTAAACTTGACCTAGATTGTTTGTTGTGGTAAGTAAGCTGCCATTGAAGGAATTAACTTTTTATTTAAAATGAAAGCTAAACTACGAGAGAATTTCCAATTAAAACTCAATTGAAGTTTATTTCTTTTCATTAGAAGTTATCAACATAAAGCAAATTCAAAGCAAAACAAACAAACAATTTTATTCCTAGTGCTCCTTACTGTTTGCATAAGCAGAAATTTCTGAGAATATTCAAAACTATAACCGAAAGAGATTGAGTTATAACAACAAAATCTTTAAAGCTGTGGAATGAAAAATGTGATACTTTAATTTACACACACACACACACTTAAAGTCTATTGGTTGACAGTCTCTAGGTGGATTTAAATTAGAACCGATGTTGCTCTAAATCACAGTTCTCAGCAGCTGGTAATGGTTCTTGTAAAGCTGATCTGATAAGAACTGACGTTACTCGAAACCGCAATTATCAGCAGCTGGTAATGGTTCTTGTAAATCTGGTCTGATAAGAACTGACGTTATTCGAAACTGAAGTTTTCAGCAGCTGGTAATGGTTCTTGTAAATCTGGTCTGATAAGAACTGACGTTACTCGAAACCGCAATTATCAGCAGCTGGTAATGGTTCTTGTAAAGCTGATCTGATAAGAACTAACGTTATTCGAAACTGAAGTTTTCAGCAGCTGTAATGGTTCTTGTAAAGCTGGTCTGATAAGAACTGACGTTATTCGAAACTGAAGTTCTCAGCAGCTGGTAATGGTTCTTGTAAAGCTGTTCTGATAAGAACTGACGTTACTCGAAACCGCAATTATCAGCAGCTGGTAATGGTTCTTGTTTCCTAATGTGGGTTTGTATGTGTTACTTCGCATAGCAGTTTAAGACTAGTCAGACAGTTTTTAGCGTCATATCTTGCGCAAAACTACTCAAGAGCCATTTGCACATAGCTGTCCCTAAATATGACCTGATAGTTTAGAGGGAAGGCAATAACATCCATCCCCAACTCTTGGACTGTTTTTTGTCTGACCGAATAGTGGGATTTGACTGTCATTCTTATAGCGCACACATTGTCCTATATGCAGAGCCTTTTTCGTGGCAACGGATTCATAGTTTGGGGAAACTAACCACTACATATTACGGGGAAACAAACCATAAATAGACCAGGGAAACCAACCACTAGATAGTCCGGGGAACCAACCACCACATAGTCCGGGGAACCAACCACTAGATTGTCCGGGGAACCAACCACTACATAGTCCGGGGAACCCAACCAATACATAGACCAGGGAAACCAACCACTAGATAGTCCGGGGAACCAACCACTACATAGTCCGGGAAAACCAACCACTAGATAGACCGGTGAACCCAACCAATACATAGACCGGGGAAACCAGCCACTACATAGTCCGGGGAACCAACCACTACATAGTTTGGGGAACTAACCACTACGTATTACGGGGAAACCAACAACTACATAGTTTGAGGAACTAACCACTACATATTACGGGGAAACCAGCAACTACATATTACGGGGAAACAAACCACTACATAGACCAGGGAAACCAACCACTAGATAGTCCGGGGAACCAACCACCACATAGTCCGGGGAAACCAACCATTACATAATCCGGGGAACCAACCACTACATAGTCCGGGGAAACCAACCACTACATAGTCCGGGGAACCCAACCAATACATAGACCAGGGAAACCAACCACTAGATAGTCCGGGGAAACCAACCACTACATAGTCCGGGAAAACCAACCACTAGATAGACCGGGGAACCCAACCAATACATAGACCGGGGAACCAACCACTAGATAGTCCGGGGAAACCAACCACTACATAGTCCAGGGAAACCAACCACTACATAGACCGGGGAAACCAACCACTAGATCTCCCCAAAACCTCACTGCCGTCAGTAATGGTTTGTAACAAGTATACGTATAAATATGGTGGGTGTTTGTAATATTTGGATCAAAATGTATACTTTTCCATATTTCAAATTGAAATAAACATGGAATATGAAGAGGTTATATAGTCAACTTAAAATTAACAGTAACAATGGATTTTCAATTGTTGTATAGTCAACTCAAAGTTAACTGTAAAAATGGAATTTCAATTGTCGTATAGTCAACTCAAAATTAACAGTAACAATGGAATTTCAATTGTCGTATAGTCAACTCAAAATTAACAGTAACAATGGATTTTCAATTGTTGTATAGTCAACTCAAAGTTAACTGTAAAAATGGAATTTCAATTGTTGTATAGTCAACTCAAAATTAACAGTAACAATGGAATTTCAATTGTTGTATAGTCAACTCAAAGTGGACAGTGAAAATGGAATTTCAATCGTTATATAGTCAACTCAAAGTTAACAGTAAAATGAAATTTCAACTGTTATATAGTTAACTCAAAGTGAATAGTAATAATGGAATTTTAATTGTTATATAGTCAACTCAAAGTGAACAGTGAAAATGGAATTTCAATCGTTATATAGTCAACTCAAAGTTAACAGTAAAAATGGAATTTCAATTGTTATATAGTTAACTCAAAGTGAATAGTATTAATGGAATTTCAATCGTTATATAGTCAACTCAAAGTTAACTGTAAAAATAGAATTTCAATTGTAGCAGAGCTATACTAAATATACAAACAAATTAAAAGCTTTTAAATTTGTATTATGAAAAGTTTCAAAATTAATGAATTCATTCTCCGTCTCTGTACACACATAGATATATATGTAGTTGTTTTTGAGCAAAGCTACTTAATGAGTTATCTGCTCTAGGGTCACCTTGATAATTAACTCCGACATTGATTGTTATAAACTCTCAAACTAGCCTCTAATCCACTGGCGAGGCGCCACTATACTGATAGCTGACACTATTTCAGTTTGGTTGGTTTCCAATTTCGCGCAAAGCTCCACGAGGGCTATCTGCGCTAACCATCCCTAATTTAACAGTGTAAGACTAGAGGGAAGGCAGCCAGTCATCACCACCCACTGCCAACTCTTGTGCTACTCTTTTAACAGCGAATAGTGGCATTAACCATCACGTTATAACGTCCCCATGGCTGAAAGGGCGAGCATGTTTGGTGGGACCCGATTCGAACCCGCGACCCTCAGATTGCGAGTCAAGCGCCCTAAACACTTTGCCAACACTATTTTGAGTTCACATTTTCAAATATAATTAAACTTAACATGCCATTCACGCGACCCTCAGATTGCGAGTCAAGCGCCCTAAACACTTTGCCAACACTATTTTGAGTTCACATTTTCAAATATAATTAAACTTAACATGCCATTCACTGTAAAGTATTAATATTGTTGAAGACGTAAAAACAGAAGGCATTATTGCCATGTTCTTCTTCTTCTTCGGCTTTTCCTTTTAGAAGGACTCGGTCTCCGTCACACGTTTTGCTCTCCTCCAATCATCTTTATTCATTGCCAGGTCTTCTGCAACTCCTTTCTCGTTCATGTCTTCTTTAATGCTTTACTGGCCTTCCTTGTCTTCTCTTGTCGGCTACTGGCAGTTCTAATGTTCTCCTTATTACTTGTTCTTTTCTTCTCTTTTCGTGACTGAACCATCTCAGCCTCGATTTTCTTGCCTTTTCCTCTATTCCACAGACTCTTGCCATTTCCTTAATTGTTTTCTTCTCTTTCAGTGACATTTCCAACAGCCATTTCAGCATTGTCATTTTTGTTCTTATCAACAAGCCTTCTTCTTTCTTCTTGGGGTCCAGATCTCGTCTCCTTAGAGGATCATCGATCTAATCAATGTCTTATACACTTTGACTTTCAGTGCTCTTGGTAACCTTTTGTCACAAATGACTGTGGCTATTTCCTTCCATTTCCTCCAACCCGCCTGGATTCTAGTTATCACAGCATTTTCACTTATTCCTTCACTTTGGATTGTACTTCCCAAGTACCTAAAGTCTTCTATCTGTTCCAGCAGCTTCCCGTTGATATATATAATTTTAACTTTCTTTTTCCTTCCTCTTCCACTCACCATGACATCCTTTTTTCTGGTATTCACTTTCAAGCCTCTTCTTTCCAATCTTTTCTGCCACACTTTAACTTGCGATTGTAATTCCTGCCCAATTTCAGCAGTTAGGATAAAGTCATCAATGTTTCTTAGAGGGCATTCCTTACTCAAGACGTTGATGACGATGACGAATAGCTAATGGCTGCCCTTTATTGCAGCCAAATATGTACTTCATACTTGTCAGCTTCTCTCTATATCATCTTTATAATTGTTGTCACTCCTTTATAAATGGTTCTAACTAGTCTGATAAGCTTTTCAGACACTCCTTTATAAGTGGTTCTAACTAGTCTGATAAGCTTTTCGGACACTCCTTTATAAGTGGTTCTAACTAGTCTGATAAGCTTTTCGGACACTCCTTTATAAGTGGTTCTAACTAGTCTGATAAGCTTTTCGGACACTCCTTTATAAGTGGTTCTAACTAGTCTGATAAGCTTTTCGGACACTCCTTTATAAGTGGTTCTAACTAGTCTGATAAGCTTTTCGGACACTCCTTTATAAGTGGTTCTAACTAGTCTGATAAGCTTTTCGGACACTCGTTTCTTTCGGAGACACCAGTATACTGATTCTCGTGGCACCCTGTCATACGCTTTATCCAAATCTGTAAATGCTTGGTAGTATTGCTTCTTTTTTCTTTTAAGTGCAAATGTTACAGAATGAAGATTGCATCCATTGTTCCTCACCCAGGCAGAAACCGAAACTGTATTTTGTCGATG